TCGGGTGTCTGCAACGTCTTTTTTTGTGTTTTCAATTCAGTCCTACTCTTAACCACCTCTCTCTTTGGCAAACCCACTCAGCTCTTATGACTACACCGCAGATTTTTATGCAGAAAAACAAGCCTAAAAATATATATCACATGGCTGAGAGGATTTCCTGTACGAGGGGTTTTTGTTCACATTCTCTGCATTTCATAGAGCCTACTCATCACTTTGTAGAGCCTTAGGTTTACCAGTTATGGTACCAGGATAACGCAGATCCAGGGTTTCAACTCCCGTCTCTGTCCAGTTGCCCCAAAGAGTAACTTCCTAAGCCGGCTCCCCTTCGAGGACGGTTCCACGTTGCTGCAGAAGTATCTCCAAGAGGTTCTCTTCGCGTTCCTTGGGCCTCTTTTATAGTCCCTGAAGTTCTACTTGTACGCCTGCCAGTGCGGATCACTTATGAAAGCCGTGACTAGATTGAAGAACTTCCTGCATAACTTTCGAAGACTTCCTACCTCTACGCTTCATAACTGGGCAAGCTCTGCAACATGCGCCTGTAAACCGGTCTGTCAGTTCCTCCCAATTTTCTGGTGCACCCGGAGTAAAGTTTGGAAACGTTTTCTAGCTCTTGCCTATATACAGCCTGTATTTCTAATATTTAAAATTTAACTTGGGGGTTCGTTCTGTTCAGTCTGGCCTAGATCGAATTCGATATATCGGTGATTGGGATAGGAGTGCTTCTGAAGATCCCTTCAGTTCTGTATTACCTCCTTCAATATTCTCCATAGACCCGCAGTCCTTTTGAAAAACTCGTATTGAATTAAACATTTATTTATGCAGGAAAATAAAATTTAAATTTTCAATATTTGAATCGGGTAAATACCAACGGTAATAAGTCCGTACTTTTTCAATGGGAAAACTTTGATGCAGTTCGGTTCGTTTAAAGGAGGTCTGCATCAAATTTGCAATATCACAAAAATTATGAGGTATTCCCTTTGGTAATTAACCGATTCATTAGCTATTCTTGTCTTCGAACTTTTCCTCCATTAGCGAACTCTTTCATTTATTCACGTCGGTCTGCCGCCTCCTTCTTGGCACATCAGCATTACATAAGCTACTTATTGTGAAGTAAACCCGCAAGGCAATTATGGCATCATTGCCAGGTGTTGCAGCAGCGTAAAAAATAGCACACTCGACATTTTGGAAGCCACACACGAGCGATTCAAGACACATATGTATGTGTATGTACGTTGTAGGCGGAGGTGGTAAGAGAATTTACTTGGTACATAGTGCCAGTCGACACGCAGGCAGGCGAGCTAGTGAACACGGGAAGAGAGAAGAAACAGCTGTTGCACATGCAAAACCATTAATGGAAAGCTATAAAGGCGAGCATATATGTACGTAGTAACCATAGCAGGAAAAATACTAAAAAGCTCTACATGCGATCTCCAGCCTATGAGTAGTGGCCGTAGCAGCGTCAATGATGTGTGGCAGACAGGTTGGCAGGCACTCAGCAGCAGTAACACCTCAAGAAAATGCCGCCATTCGCGTTTGGGGCGAATATATGCAGGCGTCAGATAGTAGACGACAAGCCGCTAAAACGAAGGGAAAATTGCACAAAGAAGCTTGGCAGACAAGCTGCAGGGTACAGGCAAACGGTTCGGCTTGGTGTGCCAAGTA